AAAATAAAACTGATGAATTTGCTTTTGCCCAACTTTATTTTAATTAAGTCTGTAAGTTTAATGTGACATGTAATAACTTTTGAAGTGTTTAAACTAAAATAGAAGTCAGAATACATAAAAATTTAAATTAAAGCTTTTTAGTATATTATACATTTTTTCTTAACTATTTAATTAATTATTTAGAGTAAATGAGATACTTTTTATTTATAATTGATATCATGTTAAATATTTTTTAACTATATTTTTTTTAGCTTTATTTATTAATCTATATCAGAATAAAATTATTAAAATATTTCTGCTTCATAAATGGTTAGGTTTCTGCTTCATAAAGGTTCATTTTTTAAAAAAATATATTTTGTTTGAATTATCAATTAGTGTTAAGCTAACAACTGCAATGATTGAATTTTAAATTAAATTTGTAGTAAATATTTAGAAAATTATATCCTGTTTTTTGAGTGCTTTATCGCTCACTTTCAAAAATAATTAATTTTCCTTTTGAAGCTTCTTTTGAAATTTAAATTTTAAAAAACATATTAGAAGTTCTTTGCATTATTGAATTTTGAATTAGAAATTGAAATTTTGAGGGAAGTAGTATTTTAACTTAAAGAAAAATTTTAATTAATAAAACTGCTGATTTTAACAATTTAATTAATTTAGAAAATATTATTATAACATGCATACATATAAAAAAGTAGTTTATATTGTAGCAAAAGTACATAATATACTAACAAGTTTGAGATAAAATTTTATGAGTTTAGCGTCCATTGTTGCATCAAAAGTTATTCGTTGTAAAAAGTGCATGCTTTTAATAATTAAATAATGTCCACCACCTTATTTTCTGATAAATTTTTCGATACATCCCCATATTTAATTTATGTAACATAATGTATACAGGAATAACAATGAACAATTGTGTGCTGTATTGGAGAAAACCTGAAAAACTTCCTTCCGATAGTAGATGACTGAATGTGAGTAGTTTACACAACCATAGCCTTCGAATAGTGTGTTTTTACCATGACTACTAAATTTATTGATATATTTATTTTTATTTAAGTGCGGTTTTGGGATGTCCACTCCAAATACCATTTTGTAGCTGCCGAATATAAAATAGTATAGCTGACTGCAGCACCTTAACTATGTATCATTGTACCATCAACGTGGATCTGATGCATACCAGAGGCGATTAGTTATCGTGTCCGATGGTACCCTAAACCCTTATGCGGCGTTAGCGAGAGGTATGACGTTCAACATTGGTCGTCAGAATGGCTCATTTCCTCAGCACTTCAAGAATCTCTCTATAATCAGACAAACTCATAATCAGAATGTAACTAAAATCAGATAACTATAATCAGACAAACAGCCGAAACTCATTGCTGAACACCATGTTGTACGATTCTGTCGTGCAAGTGGGCCATTCCTGACACCATTGCAGGCTTTTACGTCCGTGGGAAACTGTTCTACCATTTATTGGAGACAAAGTTCTTGCCCAATATGCAGAATGTCGAGAGTAATTAATTGGTGGCCGACACCACTTCAATAAGGTGTCATTCCATGAGTATTGTCGTACATCTGTAGGAACGTGTTCTTTTGGGACGATTAACATTTCGTTCATCAATCAATCTGAGCCAAATTATATGCTTAGTGGACACTTCTACGTATATTGCAGAGCTATATGATGGTAAGATCAATAACCATGAAGTCACGTAAGCAACAATGTGACAATTCGTAAAATCGTCCAGTTGTCACAATTGCCATCCAATCATTTCTTAATCCAATTGAATTTTCTAAAACGTAAAACCTCTCGACATTAGGGATTCCGCAGGCAACAGAATATTAAGACTGTTGGTTTCTACGTCGTTTCCTAACCTACTATCCCGCACTTTTACAATCGCATGACCAACTTGTATTTCATATCTTCATAGCTTGTTCAGGTGGGTATTCCCCGAAATTTGCATACTTAAATAGCCGAATCTTCATAGTATTGAATTTTCTATGTTAGGCAGCACATAATGAAAAATCTGCTTTTGCTAGATTATTAATTCAATATGATAATTTTAAAAGTATTATTTGGTAATAGTTACAAAACTATATTATTAATAGTTAAAATAGATTTATAGTTCAAATTTAAAAAAATAGTCATAAATTTTAATATCTTTGTTATCAAGTTAAGTTCATAACAGGTATTTTCAAAATGAAAGTACAAATATATATAAACTCTATGTAATGGTCTAAAAACTCTTACATAAATTTTTTGTATCTATATTTGCATACTGAATGTGATACGCAATTTAAAAAAGCTAAGTAAAAAAGCTTTAAAATATTCAACAGATATTTTATTCCAGAAAAACATTACATTTTATCAGTGTATTTATTAAAATGTAATCAAGGTTGTTATTGCGTTGGTTGTTATATGTGTTACTGAAAAAAATAGAAAAGACTTCTCGCCTTTGAATAATGTTATAAATATGCACATAACATATATTCTAAAATAAAGCAAACTTATTTACATTACATTCACAAAAAAACATTTATAATCTCAGAAAACATTTTAAATTCTACTCAGTAGAAAACATAAAACCTTACAATCCATATATTTTCACAAGCTGTTAACCCCAGGGAAATTATACTAGGAAAATATGTATCTAATGTGAAACAGAAAAGAACGCTTTGGGTTTGATTGCATGCAGAAGACACATACACCGCAGAAGCAAGAAAGATAACATGCAATTTAATTCAGTCCAAAGCTTTAGAAGTAAATTAACGTGGTATATGCTAGAGTCCTACCTACATCGTTGAAATAATATAATTATTTTATCATGAGAAGAGTTTCTATTTTACCTCAACACTATAAGAAAGCAAATAATTTGAAAATTATTGTGAAAACGCAAGTATTGGAATGTCTGGTACTTTGAAATTAAATCATTTACACCTAGAAAGAAGGATAAGTAGCAGATTCAACGTTACGCAGATGCACAATGAATGAGGCTTGCGACTCTTTACCCACATTGCTCCATTACGAATTTGTAACTGCTCATTTCTTTCAATCACTTTTTGGGACAGTGATCAACAGATGTATTGCACACAAATAAGATAAAATAAATAAATACAATTTTTTTTTCACATGAAGATGTTTAAAAAGGAAAACTTATATTTAATTACTTTAATTTAATTATTATATTTTTACTGATAAATTAATTCTTATTTTTTGTGTTCTATAAAAAATAAATAAAATATCACAGGTTTCGGAGTCTCATTGCTGCCATAGATGTTTGTAGTGGTTTGGAATCCGCTTTAAGCCGTTTGTCCCGGTCTAATATGACTGTAGAGCGTCGGGCTGGCAACCCCTACCCCGTGAAACGAACTTCAGTGTCACGGATGGAAGTCAGACTTCAACCAATGTGTGCTCCCTCACAACAGAAGCTGCCACCCTTTCCCCCCTACTTTCAAATCCTCTCCTGTTTTGAAATCTGCCAGTAAGCACCACGAGCCCACCATAGGGCTGTTGCGCCACTGAAGATGATGATGATAATGTGTCAGAAATATGGTATTGCCAATTTGAATTTTTCTGTAAAAATAAAATAGCCTTTTATGTTTGAAAATAAAAATTAACCTTTTTGAAACGCGTAGAGTGGAAACGATTTAGAAAAAAATATTTCTACGATTCATTTATTTATTATTATTATTGTTATTATTTTGTATTTCTTCCAAATAATAAAAAATTCTAAATTTTAGAATTAATATAGTTACGAAACCAAACGAAATAATATCAAAAATAATTTTAATTCTGATATGGCAGTTATGAACGGAAGATTAATTATAATAATCATTCATTCTTCTGAACAAATCTGATTCAATTCCATTTAATAAGAGTTAAATAAATTGCTGCTTGATGAAAAATCTATTGGAACAAATTTATCATCATCATTATTATTATTATTTAATTATTAATTTATTATTTATCCAATATTCTTATTATTTTTACTAATGGGTTTTATAGGCTGAGCAATTATTTCCCGCAATTTCTGCATTTAATAAACAACTGAATTCGATAACTTCCAGACTTCCAGTATTACTGTTTTCTATCTTAGTTTATAAGAATAATCTATTCTATAATAATCTATTCTATAATAACTCTCTGTTATTCTTATAAATAATTGAATTACATGAAATAAAATAATTTTTCATGTAGTCTTTCTTTAATATTCTAAGAAATTATTGATTTCTTATAAACATAAATATGAGTTTATATAGAAAAATAGATTTAATAGTTATTTTATTGAATTATTTATTGTGAGTTATTATTTAGTTATTTTATTATTATTTATTTTTTCTGATAGTAATTATTGTATGGTGAAAAAACAATTCTTATTCCCAATTAAATTTAATACTTGTTGAGAAACTGTTATTTGCATACAGTATAAGGAAATGGTATTTTTCATTAAATGCTGCCGTTCATCAGTTCAAATAAAAAATAATGTTTTTATTTTTTTGAATGGCTTTTCTAAAATATTAGAGGCTGTATTCACATTTTTGTAATCATTTTGAAAATTATATTTACAAAAAAAGTTTAGATTTTTATTTTCTAATTCGTTTAATCTTTGTTGAACTAACATATATCTTGATTTCTAAGACAAAGCGGCCTGATGGCCCATTGGCTAACGTTCTGGCCGTTGATGCCACAGGCTTCAGGCTCGAATCTTGGCGGTGACATGGATGTTTGTTGTCGGATGTTGGTGGTTCGGAATCCTTGTTAATCTGTATGTCCCGATCTAATTAGCCTAAAGTGTGCAAAAAACGACAGTAGAGCGGCAAACAAAGCCTTTTCCAAGACAAAATAACTTTTCATAAAATGTAAAGGTAGACTTTGTTCGATTCCTCTACCACAATTTCCATCCAATGTCTTGGAATTTAGCTTATAAAAAGTCCAAATGAAAAGTAATTTATTGGTGACACATCAGGGTATTTTGGAGGAATTCACTAAATTGGTACAACCTACATCCTTCTCGTTAGATCAACGAAGTCAAGCATCATTGGGCGCGGTCAGTACTTGGGTGGGTGACCACCTGGGAACACCGCGTGCAGTTGGCATTCACAAATTTGGGACTTGAATGGCCGAGTGTCTAGCGTTCTGGCTCTCGGTGCCACAGGTTTCGAGTTCGAATCCCGGCGGTGCCATGGGTGTTTGTAGTGGTTCGGAATCCACTTTAAGCCGTAGGTCCCGGTCTCCTATGACTGTAAGAGCGTCACGGAGCCAAAGTCAGACTACTACCTACGGGTGCTCCATCACAACAGAAGCTGCTTCCTTCCCCTTCAACCATGAGTACGTATGGGCTCGTAGGCTTGGCCAGCCAAGTGGGATAAGAAACAACAAGCCTCCATCAATTCTAGTTTCATTTTGCATTTTTTCCATATTTGGAGCAGTACATTTGAAAGTATGATTGATAACCTTATCTTAATTGTACTTAACATAGTGGCGATTGTTTGGTTAAAATAATTTTATCACACAGTTGTCTTGTTTGAAAATATATGTTAAAACACATTTTCGATAGTAATAGAGCTAATTTTGACATTTTTTTCTACTTTTCCTTTTTAACTTATACATTATAAGATAATCCAACAATTATCATATAATCTTTAGCAAAACTTTCCTTGTTTTCTCTGAACCAATATTTTAGTTCCCGCCCCCCCTTTTTTTCGATAGTAAATCGTTCTTTTTCTGTTGCAATCAGATAAATATATCCGAGCCTCATCAATTGTAACTACGTATTTCCATTTTCACCTGCCAATAATTTTCGTATAACAACTGCATATAGTTTTATGTTGAGAAAAAATTTTTGTCGTTAGCCAATGAACATCGTTTTTTTGTTTTTTTTTTTGTTTGGATTAGTTTTAATTTTGTTAAAATACCTAAGCCGATTTTTGAAATTTTACCATAGTTCTTTGAGGTTTTTTAAAATTTTTTTTAAACATGTTATACGCCTTTAGATGTAATAAGAGGTGGATAAGAGATTATGCTTTTCTTTATTTTTACCCGCCAAATGTAAGTTTTTACTAATATTTCCATTTTTATTAATTATATCACATATGTAATGTGCACAAATATTAAAAACATGACTATCACATCTTTTTTAGAGATCAAATAAGAGTATTTGTCTTCCTAAAAGACAAAAATATAGCCTTCGATTCTTCGTTTACTATTCGAGACATTTTAAAGCAAAGAATAAATTAATGATACAGACGATAATTAAACCTTATTCCAAATTGATGCCATTCGGGGTTTTTATTCACCTAAATTTAATTCATGGGAAAACACAAAATCGTTCTAAAAATACCTGAATACTAGCTATATCTGGGTTTAATGACAATTATTGTTGATAACTTACATTTATCTGGCATCCACTTCTATTAACGTGGTAGATAATAATTCCAAATTGTTTTTGTTTCAGCATTATCGAATTTATTTTTTATCATGTTATAGCAACCAACAAATTTATGTTTGTTATTATTATCAAATGCCTCTTGCTATAACGTATATGTTCCAATACGTACCCGAACACATTCTCCACAGGAATGCCAGATATCAACCATATTCAGCATTATTTAGGTAATGGTTGCACAGAGCACTGTGAATTTTTGGAAAGGTTTTTATTTTTTAATGAAAGTTAAAATAAAGAAAAATTAAATATTTTTATCGAAAATATGTAAATATTTAATTATTGAAAAAATATTTTATTCAATGCTCTATATTATATAGCATTGAATATCATTTCACTAAGGTGCTATCCTGAATGCGGAATATCTACTTCAATATTTTTATTTTTATTATATTAATTGCCAAATATATATTTCTTTTATCAATTGTACCCAACAAAATAGATATCGTTGAATCGTTTATGTTAAATAATTCATTAAAATACATCTACCTATTGGAATAAATCAATGAATGTAAATGTATGTATACCAAGATAGTCAATGAATAAAAAAGCTTTAATTAGCAGCTTTGGCAATCTATTACAACACTTATTAAATAAGCATAACACTAATCACCATAATTACAATATAATTTGTATTAATCACCACATTAACATATATAGAAGATAGATAATTTTTGAGATCTACAATTACATTTATTTAATTTTTGCAACCTCTACTACTCCTTTCAGAAACCCCCTCAGGGAGGCGTTTTCTACAGATGCGTGAGGATGTCACGACCCCGGGGTGACCTAGTTATCTTTTCATCGTTTTGTATTCTTTTTTATTTTCTTTTTCATCGTCTATATCACAGACCTTATCATAGCTCCTCTATGTCTCATCATTTGTCGCTTTTTACACTTTGTTTGGCACAAATACTGGCCTTTTTGTCATAAAATTCCAACCAAATCAACCTTTAATGATCATCCTCAAGTGCGTAATCTTCGTGATTCATACCCTCATTCCAAGTTTTTTTAATCAAAGGGAAATAATTTCTGGCTTACATAATATTTATACCAATTCCTGGAATAGACACGCAAACTTTTGCACTTGTTTTCACTTTTAAGGTATCGAAATGATTTGGATTGTTTAAAATGTTAAATATTTTAACATTTTAAATAAAAGACACTCAATTGTAATATCAGTTGTCCAATGTTGATATCACTGTGCCCAAAAAGTAAACCCAGTTTTCAATTTAAAATTCCCGGGTCTTATGAAATTTCAATTTTTGTTCTTTTATAGGTTACTGGTGCTGTCCTTGACATATGTGTGAAAATTGACGTCAAAATATTCATTAGTATATGAGTTACGCTTGGTTTGTGAGACGCTAAAACTGATTCCGGCGATAGTTGAAATGTCTGAATTAATTCAGCAAATAACTTGCATTAAATTTTATTTGCGGAAACGTATCGAATGCTGCAGAAGGCATTCTGTGAGCATTTAAAAATCGGAAAGAAAGGTTTGCAAGTAGTATAAACAGTCCAATGAAGGCAGGGAACGTGTTGAAGACGAAGAGCCGTCTGGTCGACCACCAACCTTAACCGACGAAGCTCACGTCCAAAAAATTAAAGATTTATTGCTTGCAAACCGTCTATTTACAATTAGAGTCCTTGCTGTTGATATTGAAATTACAAAAGGATTGATCAATTCTATTTTGGGCCTGAAACGCGTCAAACCTCGAATGGTACCGAAAACACTGAATGCACCAGCTCACACTGCATTGGTTCTTCGTGCCTTTTTGCCAAAAATGAAACCAATGTCGTTCCATATCCATCGTATTCACATGGTGCGACTTCTGACTATTCCCTAAATGGGGACACGGATTTGAGTCGATTGAAGAGATTCAACGAGAATCGTTGCGCGCTTTGAAGGTCATCCCTGCCGATGACTCTTTAGTATGCATTGAGGATTGGAAATAACTTTGCATAAGTGCATTGTGTCCGGAGAGAATTTCTTTGAAGGCGATGAAATAAATTTAGAAGAATAAATTAAGTATATAAGAATATTTTGCAAAAAAAAATTTAAAGAAAAATTAAATAAAGGAAGCAATTGTAGTATCAGCTGTCCAATGCTTATATGCAGTGCCAGAGTGAAGAAGGGTGGACGTTGAAATCCTCAGTTGGCGTCAGTTCCACTTTTAGTTTTCAGAAAATCCTCATTCGTGATTGTAACAATGTGTGTAAGCGCTTTCCATTGAATGTCAAGCTGCCTGAAAGTGAATATTTTCTGGTAACTCGTAAATATTGGCAATAAACCATGAATGCTTTTCAGGACAGAAGTACTTTTAATTGTCCACCAGAAATCAGTTTGTGGTATATAACAGAAACAAGAAGCTCACTAATGTATGAAAAAATAAAATAAAGTTATATTCTGTTGAGTGACTGATTATTAAAATTATTTATAAGTAGTAGTTTTTCTGAGGTCAAAAAATGTTTATTTATTTTTTCTTTCATTACTGGGAAATAAAGAAAAGAAATAATAATTATCATAAATTCATAGATAAGTTAGACTATTTATTGTTTAATTCATTAATAATTTACCGTTATCATATTGAATTCATTCGTAAGTAGAGTTATTTATTGTTCAACTCATTAATAATCTACTTTTTCATTATTGATTTCATTGATAAGTTGAATGATTGTATTATAAATATTCATAAAATTGTATTCTTTGTATTATAATTATTCATTACTAAGTTGTATACTACATTAAAAACAAAATGTTTCAGTGTATTGACCTATGCAGTTTGGTCTAATTATATCAATTTAAATGTTTTTTCAATGGCAAGTAATTCATATTTATATTTTTAAACAAATATCAAAGCTAATTCTAAAATTTAAAAACTGAAAATAAATTGTTTTTTTTTCTGTTGAAGCTATACAGTAAGGTAATCATATAATACTATGTAAAAAGACCATTTCAGTATTGAGTTATTTTCGAATTTTATTTGTATCGCATCATTTATAAATAATATTTAAAATAAGTGGTGACAAAGAATATTTTAATTATTTGCTTTAAATAAGGAATTTAATTTAAATTAATTAACAATTTTTATTATTTTTATTTGAATGAATATAATTAGTAAAACAAAACAAATTTTAACTGAATTGTCACGTACTTAAAAAAAAAACAGATATTTCTAAAAAAAAGTTAGCTTAACATGAAATTGTGTTTGTAAAACTAACCCAATCATTATGACCCCATTAAAATAACAAACAAGAATTTTCATCTAATCGGATTACAATCATTTATTTCAAAAATGTTTTTAACAAAACTCTTTTATTTTACGAAAATAAAAAAATAAATGTTTCTTTAAATTTTTTTGTTACAAATTCCTTTTATTTTAACAAAAAATCTTTTTAATGGGGTATAATATCGTTTTTGAATGATTAACATTAATGATTTTTTTTTATTTCCAAGGGATTTTGTGGTATCTTATCATGCACTACTGATTCTAAAAAAGGATAATCATATTTTTGCCTTAAGAGAAATTGATGTTCTCTAAAGACATAGAAGTAGCCTGAATAGATTGCTACCTTTGGAATCCTTTTTTAAACGATAAAAATTTTAATAAACCATCTTCAATGTTTTTAAATCTATATTGTTATAGAT